TCCGACCGATGAGTCTCGTAGCTTGATCAGCTCTTGGTTTCCAGAGAACAGTTTCGAGGACCATATCCCAACTTCAGCACTAAACATCATGTATTTTCAATTAGATGAATTATTTATCACACAGAATTTCATTTTAATCATAGCTTTTTTTTTATTCCTGATTTTTCTTTTAAAACAAGTACTTTATATATTAGTACTGAATTCATTTTTGCAGATGCAGTAAAATTGTATCCTTTCCTCTCCTTGTTACAATGAAAAAGGGCTTAGAGTTTTATTTACTTAATTATGCTTCATTTTACTATATCATGAAATAAATAATGATTATATGCTTGAGTATTTATCTTTGGGTAAACTACATGGATGACCATTAAACTATGGTAAAAAATCACTTGGCCACGATGTTTAATTTTGATCAAACAGACCACTCAACTATTTAAATGATTCATTCAAGCCATTCTTCGTTAATTTTTTAACGGAGATAATGACATGTCAGTTTAATAAATTGACATAATTATACATTTAGTCTTTAATATTTATGCATTTTATCAATTTAATCATAATTTTAATTTAATTTAAAAATTAACCCTCCAATTTAGAGGTGCCACATGGAGTGACATGTTAGTATATTATTAAATAGTTAATTTAATTAATTTTAATATTTTAATTAAATATTACGTAAAGAGGAAATAAATAAGAAAATGCTAATCAAGGGAATCAAACCAAGGACCAAGGAAGTCCTTGGGCAAGCTTTGCCCCTAGGGCAAACTATTTTTTGATTTCAAATTGCACAATCTTTTATATTTTGTTTAAGATTATTCACACAAATATATATATATATATATATATATATATATATATATATATATATATATATATATTAAATTATTATACAGGTCTAGTAAATAAATTGTATTTCATATATATAAATTATAGTTAATGAAGATCTAGAAATAAAATGAGTTTAGTATTTTTATTTTTTAAATTAATAATTTAAATAATATATAAATTATATTAAAAAATAAAATTATATAAAAGATTATTAGAAAATCTAAAGTCACAAAAAACTTAAATCATACAAAATCTATAATCCGAATTTTAATTTTTGTTTTCAATATTTTTAATTATTTTTCATTATTTGAATTTATAATTATTTAAAAAATTAATTTAATTTAAAAATAAAAAAATTATTTTTATTTTTAAATATTTCATTAACTGCAATTTAATATATATATATATATATATATATTATATATATATTATATATATATATATATATATATATATATATATGTGTGTGTGTGTGTGTGTGTGTGTGTGTGTGTGTGTGTGTGTTGTGTGTGTGTGAAATATAATTTTTTATGAAACTCGTTTCAATGATCTATGTAACACTCGAATCCCGGGTTAGTAGTTAGGGTCAACCCGAGACTCAAAGTTGAGCTCAAATACTTTATAAATTAGTTGGACTAAGTTTAGTGTTAGTGGGCTTGAATTGAGGCCCAAGGGAATTGTGGTTAAGTGATAAGAGTTTTATGATTTAGAAGTTGGGGGACTAATAATGTAGTTTGCCCATAGTTAAAACTAAAAGCTGAAAACTCATTCCTTTTTATATATACGTGAACCACCCCCATTACCTCTTGACCAAATTTTTCTCTTATTTCTTCCATAATTCATTTTTTCTTTCTTCAAGTTGAATATTAAGAGTTCTAAGTGAGGTTGCTAAGCTAAGGTGAGAATGTTTTTCTCCATCCTTCAAGCTTTGTTTCAAGCTCCATTTTGCGAGTTTTAGATTTTGTTTTCAAATGGGTTTTTCTTAAAGGTATGGTGATCCTAGTTGATTTAAGAGGTGTTTTAGCAGCCATAAGATAACACGCTTATAGCTTTCTCATACCAAGTGTAGATCATGTATGTTAAGATGTGTTAGGAAGTTAAGTTTAAAGCATGTTTAGCAATTTCCATGGTAGATTGTTCATTTGATGTTAGTTTTAGATTTTGTTTTCAAAATGGGTTTTTCTTAAAGGTATGGTGACTCCTAGTTGATTCAAGAGGTGTTTTAGCAGCCAAGGCAATAAGGTAACACGCTTATAGCTTTCTCATACCAAGTGTAGATCATGTAATGTTAAGATGTGTTAGGAAGTTAAGTTTAAAGCATGTTTAGCAATTTCCATGGTAGATTGTTCATTTGATGATATAAACATGTTAATAAGCCTCTATTATGACCCTTGTTGATCAATAAAACTTTAAGCATGTTTGGGGACCTCACTAAGGACTTTGGAATTGAGAAATAGAGTCTTTCGTACTTGTTTTATGGCTTTTTGTAGGTAGAGTATCAACTACTAGGGATAATATCGATATTTGTTCTTCGTTTTGGGCAAATTCGTGAGTTTCTAGGAAAGATTATCTATACTCTTTCAAGAGTATCGAAACTTTGGGTCATAGTTTCAAAACTTCCATAAAGTTTTGAAACTGGGCAAAACAGAATATTTAAAAGTATCAGTACTTGTATAAAGTATCGAAACTTTTGTAGGAGTATTGATACTCTTGGGCTAGTATCGATACTTTCAGTCTGTTTTGGGCAAAATTAAATGTCAATTTTTAAGGGAATTAGACTCGAGGCACCTTGACACTTCTTTTTATCATCAAATAAGACTATAAGTGAGAACAATAAGAAAATTTAATTCAAACGTAGAAACAAGAATAGTAAGATCGATAATACTAGCCTGTTTGAATGATTGGAATAATGATCATGACACCTTAGTTTCTTTAGAAAAGATAAAAGAGTCGAAAGTATATATTCAGTCAAGATATATCCTTAGGGAGTGCGCAAGGTTCGACACTCAAGGAGTGGGCTAGTCGAAAGTGTGGTGTCCGATGAAGAGATTTTGGGGGCCACATTCTCGGTAGACTAGAGAGGTATGTGAGCTCCGAGATGCAAAACCCTGAACCACACCATGATGTCTACCATAGAGTAGAGAGTGAGTATACAAGTATACTCACTAAAGCAATACAAAACAAATCAATAGACCAGATAGAAAACCAGTAGACTTGAATGTTTAAGCCTTTCAATGAATTACGATTAGTATGTTTTAGCCGTTAATGTGGCGTTGAGCTAGTTAGCTCAGCCTTTGGATGTTTCAGTGGGCAGGTTAGTAGATCAAGCATTTGGGAAGCAGTAGATAGACCAAGGTTTAGATCAGTCCAGTGCATATCAGATGTACGTCTCAGCGTTTTCATTGGGCATGTATATTTGTACACATTATTGTCTAGTTGGGTCGTAAATTCAATCAAGTTGTTATGTAATATTTTTGAAGTGTAAATATTTTATTTTGGAGCTCCTCAGTGAAAAGATTTTTATTATATTTTAGTTTATGATTTTTATTATATTTCAGTTTATTTTATGGTTGGTTATAATGGTCGTTTCAAAAAGCATGAGAAAATAAGTTTAAAGTTGGTTAGCCACTTTGGTGCTTTTGTGTGACATCCTAAATCGATCGACTGTGTGTCGTACCGGTCTAGGGTGTTATAATTTATGTACGTGTGAAATAATCTCAAAGAAAATATATAAAAGTTGTGCAATTTGGAGTCAAAGGGTGACTTGCCCCAACAGTAAAGGTGTGCCAAAAGACTCCTTTGGTCCATGGTTTGGTCCCTTTATCCAGTGTTTCTATCTTAATTTGTTTTTCCTTTACACTGGTGGAGACGTGTGTCATCACCTGATTGGTAAGAAAATTTATTTAATTAAAATGTTAAAATTAATTAAATTAATTATCCAATAATATACTAACACATTACTTGGAAATGTGTCACAATAATATGTTGATATGTGGCACCTTCGAATTGGAGGGTAAATTAAATTAGAATTAGGACTAAATTGATAGAATGCATAAATATTGAGGACTAAATGTAAAATCGTACCAATTTAATTAACTGATATGTCACCATCTCCGTTAAATATTAACGAAGAGTGGCTTGAATGAACCATTTAAATAGTTGAGTGGTTTGTCTGACCAAAATGAAATATCGGTGGTCAAAGTGATTTTTGACTATAGTTTAGTGGTCACCCGTGTAGTTTACCCTTATCTTTTTGAATTTACAAAAAAAATATATTAAATTTTTTCTTTTTGTTAAAATATCTTAATTTCATATTCTTTTTATTTTGATTTTTCGGTATGGAATATTTTTCAAATTCAACGGAGAGGTATAGACGAAGAAGATTTACTACATCTTGATTTTATATTCATCGAGCAGTAAAGATTATAAATCATAGTTATTTGTCTTTTAATTTTTATTTTAAATTTTCTGAGTTTTAAAGATATTTTAAGAAAATCAGATTTATTAGACTGAAAAAAATAATGAAAACATTTTTGTTGATATCTTATGTGATCAGAAAAATACAAGTAAAATACAACCAACGCCAGCATAAGATCGAATATTTCATTATATTTTTATTTATTTTTACTCTAATTAAAAATGATAAAATAATTTAAAAGTTCTAAATTTAATGATTAAGATACAATACAATTAAAGCTAAATGAGACAAAGCATGCAGTGTTATTCAAGACCACAATCTGGTGGGTTTTTACATTTCTTAGATTTGCCTCACTAAATGACACCATTTAAAGATCAAACAGAGAGTGATATTAGTCTTTGCATACATATATATATATATAATATATATTATTGAATACACCGAGCAAAGTGTGAAACTTTGGCAGACAGGACCACAACTGAAACACTTTTCCAGCAAGGGAAGAAAGAAACACTAATCAAAAGAAAAGAACTGGAGATTCGTCTTCTTTCTCCTTGGTTTTCTATGTATGCTCGAGAAACTTCCATCTTCTGTTTTTATTCCTGATCAATTGAACCCTATATGTCAATCTTTATATATGTTTCAGGAGATTTCATGGTCTTTTCTGATTGATGAAATTGTTGGTTTTGTCGGATAAAAGTTGAGAAATTAAGAATTCCTCTTCTTTTTAAGACACCGAGCTCCTGATTCTGGATCATTGACTTGGAATTTTTGTTGTACGGCTCTCTTAAGACCTCCATGGAAGCTTCAAAGTGTATATCTATAGATCTGATGCTTCAACCCAGTACGATTAGAAAGAGAAAAAGAAATTCAGTGAAAAGATTATTTGCAACAGCTGACTAAATCTGATCCATCTCCACTCCACCAGCTGCATCTTCACATGAACAACTATATCACAAGATCATATAGTAACATATATACCAACATATGAATATGATCAGTGTGATTGCAACCTTTAGGTTTCGTTTGAGTGTAAAAGTACAGGCCAAGTACGCCCTAGCAATGAAAGAGTTGATACAAACTCCAAAAAAAAATTATGTTGGGAGGTAAATTCATGAAAAATAAATTACATACAAATTCATGCAATCATAAAATTGTAAATAAAAGAAGAGAGAAAGAGAGAGAAGTGGATGACAGATAGAGAGTGAGCACTCAGAGCTTCAAGCATGTAAAATGCGGAAAGCACCCTGGGTGCTCACTCTCTTCTGTCATCTCCCTTACCCTAAACCCCCTTTTTACCATAGCACCAAAAACAGCTTCTTGAAGCTGGAATCAAGGACATCCCTACACATATATGTGTGTGTGAAAATAAATACCCAAAAATGATTGAACATCAGACTAGTGAAACATCTCTAGTTTCTGGTTTGGTTTGGTGTGGGAAGCAATGGAGGAGCACAGAGGGCTTTATATAGAAGGAGAAGGAGAGTGGTTTGCATAAGGTTTTGGAATAAAATGTGGGACATATTATTTTATTGGTCACTCCCAAATATTTTAATCCCATTATTCAGACTTTGAAGATAAAGAAGCCTAAAGACCCTCTCTCTTTTGATCAACCCCAGATGTCCAAAACAAATCTAGCCAAGACATAACACATTTATTCAAACCATACACTTTAGTATTTACCAATTGCACCCCAAAAGCTTTCTCTCTTATCTATTTTCAACTTGGTCTGATGAAATGAATCTGCTCTTCCCATGTCAAATGGATTGCTGAAGAAAATGTTCTCTCTCTAGAATATATACACTGGAAATACATCAAGAACTCATGATATTGATATCGAAAGTGAATGCTATCTTTTTTTTCTTGTTCTAAGACCTCTGGAAAGATGAAATTTTTTTAGATATGGAAAAAGAGGCCGCTAAGGTAAAGAATAGCAAAAATTAAAGCATAAACGCAACAGAAGCCACATCATTTTAAAACCCTCCTAGGCTGGCTGGCGCCAACAAAGATCCATATTTAAAAATGAAATTTTTGTATTTTGAAACCTAAAACCCTAGCTCACTCATGTTGGGATTTATATCCCATCATGATCCTTACACATACACCGTGTAAAACTTTTTTTAAATTTTACACCTTTCGAGGATTGTTGGGTTGGAGAAAATCAAAGGCTGAGATTAACTATTCTTTTTTTAATGAATATATTCTCATTTTTTACTGTTAATCTCAACCTTTAAAATCTCTCAACCAATAATCTTAAAAAAGTGAAAAACTAAAAGAATTTTACACAGTATAACTGGATCCTGCCTTTATATATATCTTCGTTCAATTTCATCTTCATTTCCTTCCAATGCACTTGAGATTTGGTTTAGTAGAACAAGAACATTAATTTCATTACTAGGGTTTTGTTGGGGAAGGAATCTTATGAGATGTTGTCAAGTATGATTTGTAGAATAAAAAAAAGTTAAATTAGAACTCTTAAAAGAGAAGTTGGATTTGAGTAAGTCAATTTTTACTATAACCCTAAAAAGATATTCAATCCTCTTTAACGACATCTAAAAGTTTCACTTTTTTTAGATATTGATACAACATATTTAAGGGTTGAAGATTATAAGTTATTAATTTATGGTGATTATAAGATAATATTTGTTCGAAAAACTCTCAATTATTTTACAATAAGCGCTCATACACTCTTATAAACATCATTATCAAACGTGGGACCTCAAAGGATAACAACTATCCTTTAATCATTGAACTCATTTAATTCGTGCGAGAAAGAGGCTTTATATAAAAGGGAATTGAACATTAGAAATTAAAGGCTGAGATTAACAATAAAAAATGAGAATATATTAAATGAAAATCAAGGAGTTAATATCGACATTTGATTTCTTTCAATCTAATGGTCCTAAAAATGTGTAAAACTAAAAGAATTTTACACAGTATAAATGGATACTAACCCTTATAATATTTTTTAGAGTATATATATAACTTTTTTTTTTGTATAAAATAGGTACACATAAAATTTTAGCATAGATATCATCAATAAAATATATAATTAACCGAAATAAATTTAGTATCCACCCTTAACTGCACTTGCATTTGCCCCTATGACTCTACCCTGGCTATAAGGATGTATAACCAAGAATTTTGTATGGAATGTACCGCACTTTTGTACGTGGTAAGATTAGACCATGTAGGTAGTCATTCCAATTAGAGGCTATTTCAATTGTTAAGGATTTTTTTATTCGTATTTTAAAAGTCCGTTTAGACATGATCGGATCGAAAAATCCACTCACCCTAATATCTGCATGAGGCGTTCTATTTTATTTACCATAAAAAATAATTTTCGAGTTTTTTGTGATATGTGACCTAAAAGGTTCGTTATATCATATTGGGATTCAATAATGACACACTAGGTGGATCAACTCTTTGTTGAACAAACATCTGTTCAAAGTGATTTATTTAAAAGTAATTGAATAAAATAATAATATAATAAAATCGAGTGATTTTTCATTCCTTATCTTATTCGATCTTAAACTCAATTATAAAACTTCTACAACATCAAAAAAGTTTTTATATAATTTGAGTTATTATAAAGTTCATAACTTTCTAAATTAATTAACAAAATATATATCATACAAATACAACTATTTAAACTTAAATCTCGAACTCGTGCCTGCCCTTTGGCTTTGGAAAAAGAGAAGAGTTGTTTAATTTAATGAAAGGAAGCATCAGCCAGTGAGTGCTCAACATCAACGTATGAAAAACGCAAAAGCATCCCCATACGGCGATTAAAGTATATATGCTTTTGATTAATAAAATCATAAAATAAAATGATGTCAGTAATCATTTTTGACAAATGTAAAATACGGACCACTCCTTCAAATGCTACATTCCCTCAATCAATCTCCCCTTTAGCATCCCTTTGATACTTGCGTAAAGTACCCTACAAACTTGTCTTCTTTTATTTCACCAATGCATGCATGCTTCCTGTTTCATGTATTCATTCATTCCCACACGAACCAAGAAATTTCGGTGATAAATGTATTGTTGTTATTTCTTGAGATCCCGAATTTAAGCACTAAGAATATTATGGCAGCATTCAATGTCAAATGGTGGAGAGTTATCTATGAACATATATTATCTTATATTTACTCTAGATTAATAAAAAAACATCATTCTAACCACTTTGGTGCAATCACCCAATCTTAATCATACTCCCATAGGATCAGTAATGTAAATAATACTTCTTTTTATATCAAATTTTAATTAAATTTAAAATCCGTTTAAATAAAGATGAACCGAAGGGCATTGGAGGGAACGATAAAATTTTATAGTTTTACAGCCTTAGATTTATGATATGCTTCACATTTTTTTCTATGGGCGGTATCTTTTATACTAAAAAAGTTACCTAATGGAGAATAAACAAAGTTACTGCTTTAGTTATTTATTGTACTAAGAATAAAGAAATAGGGTGGGCATAGAACAAAATGAATTATAAAATTTTCCCATTATGGAAGTGGGTATTTCTTAATTGTGGGTCTGAACTTTCCCTTTCAAGAGTGGAAGATGAGGGAAGCTCCCCATACATGTGGATGTTACTACATTTATCCAGCACCATCTGCAGCTTTCAAAAAGGTATGGGATAATTACATTAAATATCCTTAAACTACGACACATTATACATTAGTCGCAAAAAGTTTAAAACATTCTAATTGAACCCTCGAAATATCAGTGTCAATCATCCTTTTGTTGGCGTGTGATTATCTTTGTATTCCCCGATCGAGCAATATTGTCTTCCTCCATTTAGGGTTAGAGGTTTTAACGAGGCTCTCGACTGGGGTTAAATTCCTTTTTAAAATAAAATTCATTGTTGCCGATCAAAAAAAATTATCAGTTAGGAAATTAAATATCAATACAAATATTGTTGGAAATAATAACTATAAAACATAGTTATTAGCACTGCTTGGAGATATAAGCAATTAACTAAACCGGAATAAAAATCGTGTCGTGGTGTTAGAAGTTAATTAAGCTCGATGTGTACAATTGTAACAATGGACGAATGCCCTTTGGGGTTAACACGATTCTCCAAAATATCATACACCCAAGAAATTAAAGTGAACAAAGGTGGTATTGCTCTTCACCACAAAGAAATTGAAAAACAGTAGAGAAATGAGATAAAAGCTTCTTTGAAAACGAAAAAGAAAATGATTTTTGAATGAATTGAAAGTAATGAAACGAACTGTATATATAAACTCATTCTCCCGACCAAGAACATGTATTTATGCGTGAATTAAGCAACCAATACAATTGTAATAATATTAAAACAATTAAGCTACAATGAGACAGCTATAACTAACAACTGATATAAACGAGAACTAATTATGTTGTCTGATGCAATGAAAGAACGAATCAGACTGAGAAAAGGTCTAAATTCATAGTTAATTAACCTTAAAAAAATAACAGTTGTAACAGCTGTATATTACATCAAAAATAAATTCCAAAAATTATGTCATGACAACCAGCATAATATTATTGGTTTCACACAGAAAAATATTATCCGTTTTACACAAAAAATGTGTCTATTAGCTGACCCTATTTCCATATATAATATGGTAAAGGGAGGTAGGATTGTAGGCTGTCCCCAACGCCAGGTTGAGAACAGCTTCTGTAGGAGACCTCCGGCGGTCAGAATTATGAATTATCCATCGTGAGACTCGATCACACGACCACAAGGTTAAGAGCATTGCGCTCCTATTATTACAGTTAAAGATTTTTTTACAAATTTTCTCAAAAAAAAAAAAAATACAAACACAATACATGTTGAGAATACATATACTTGCCATGGCCACAAACCAAACCAACTGGGTGACGACACACACGTTCAAATGAGTTATCATTCCACGTTTAATATAAGAAAAAATAATAATCCTTTAAATACTTTTCCAAAAGTATAACCCTTCCCAATGCGAGATATATATCTTTTCTATAGCATTACTAACAAATCTAACATAAAAATAGATTTAACATTTAAATTGACGTTAAAACTTACATTACATTACGATTAATTTAAGAATTCGATTAAAATATTTTAAAGTAAGCATCCGATATCATCATCTTGTGTTATAAACAGTAAAGGCAGGTTAGGGTTGAATGCAGCTTTCGGACAAGTAGGTGTTGGTGCGATAGGGTTTATCTTTATATTTGCTGGGTGAGACCCAGGCATGTGCCTTTCACGGTGGAAGTCCACTCCAAGCAAAGTCGAAAATTGCATTCAAAAGCAGTTTATGGGTAAAGGGCATTAGGTTTATGAGAATCCATTTTTCCCTTCTTTTCTAGAATGGTGTCCAATCAAGAATAACCCCCCCCCCCTCTCTCTCTCTCTCTATATACATAAATAGTTTAGTTAACATGAGGGACAAATATAGAATTTTATGTTAGAGGGCGAATTTAAACTTTTTATAATTTTAGGAGGACGAATTTGAATTTATAAAATTTCGGGAATGAAAATTGATTTTTAATAGATAATAAATAAATAAAATCTAAAATATTTGATAATTTTAAATTTTTAGAATAATGATTGCCTCCCTCTACCTCTCTCAATCCATTCCTGGCTAACATTATCCATTGGACATTATTCCATTCTGTTTTTCCTCTTACTCACATGTCTTAAGGTGATAGAGGGAAAGTTTTAATATAATCTTCCATAGGTCGCCAAACGTTATGTATAGACTCGGATCAAATATATTATCGATAAGTTTAATAATATCATATCATATAAAATTTAAAGTCAAATTTATCTAACTTCATTTTTAATACATCAAATATCAATTTCATACGCATGTGATTATATCTATTATTAGTAAGAGTTTTTCCCCCTCAAAATGTTAAGTGAACACTGCTGGGAAATAAAACAAGAAACGAGTAATTTTTCTATAACCAGATTAGTGAGAATGCGAAATAAAAGCAGAAAAATAATACCCGAAATTGATAACAGAGTTCAACCAATTTTGCTTACGTCTCCGGACTGCTGCAAATCTTTTACTAAGAGAGAAAATTTACAGGTGTTTACAAAACACTCACTACACAAGAAAGCTCTCTAGTATTTGGAGAAAGAAAATGATTTGGGATGGTTTTGAAGCTAAATGAGCTAGGGTATTTATAGTTGAAGCTTAAGGACTTAATCTTGTAAATACCCTAAAGTCCAGGGATTAATTGTGATTATCCCATTATCATTTTTCAACAAACATCTACCAAACTTTGAAAAACTATTTTTCAAAGAAACATTTACCAAACTTTGAAAACCATTTTCAAAATAACATTTACCAAACTTTGAAAATCATTTTTTCGAAGTTGGTTGCCAAACTTTGAACTTAACTTTTAACAATACTTTCAACAATCTCCCACTTGAAGACTGATTTTAATCTGTCTTCATACCTCGATCGATGCAGCAACCTTTATAGTCTTGTTATTCTAGCATGCCAACTGAAGCTGAACACAACTTCAGTTTATCCGTAGTCACCGTCTTTGTCAACATGTCTGCCGGATTTTGAGCTCCATTAATCTTTTCCAGTTTCAAAATCCCATCTTCCAGAAGAGACCAGATAAAATGATATCACAATTGTATGTGCTTCGTCCTGGAATGAAAAGACGGATTCTTTGCTAGATGGATAGCACTTTGACTGTCACAATACAAGACATTGTTTTCTTGTTTCTTGCCTAACTCTTCTAAGAACCTTTGGAGCCAAACCATCTCCTTGTTTGGCTTCCGTAACAGCGACATATTCTGCTTCAGTTGTGGAGAGAGCAACTATCTTCTGTAGTTGAGAAACTCAACTCACCGCAGTTCCTCCTAGAGTATAGACATACCCTATAGTACTTCTTCTGATGTCAACATTTCTGGCTAAGTCAGCATCTACATAGCCTGTTAGTATCGTATCTCCACCTTTGAAACAAATTTCTTTGTTTGTAGTACCCCACAGAGATCTGAGGATCCATTTGACTGTTTCCCAGTGTACTTTGCCCAGATTATTCATGTACCTGCTAACAGCTCCCACTCCATGAGCAATATCTGGTGACTGTTCTTTGGAGAGTCTAAAATGAACACCTAAAGGTGTACTTACTGGTTTAGCATCTTGCATGTTAAACCTGGAGAGTACTTTATTGATGTACTCAGCCTGTGATAACATCAAAGTCCCTGACTTTGTGTCTCTCTTGATCCTCATCCCAAGAATCTGCTTTGCAGTGCCCAGATCTTTCATTGTAAACTGCTTCGACAATTTTTGCTTCAAGTTTATAATCTCTTACATGCTTGAACCTGCAACAAGTATGTCATCAACCTACAAACAATAAAATAATGAAGTTGTTGTCGAACTTCTTGATGTAGCAACAATGATCTGCTTTGCATCTGGTAAAATCACTGCTACTCATGAAGCTATCGAACTTCTTGTACTACTGTCAAGGAGCTTGTTTTAAACCATACAAGCTCTTCTTCAACCTGCATTCTAGGTTTTTCTTGCCTGCCTCTATGAAGCCTTCTGGCTGCCTCATATAGATTTCTTCCTCGAAATCACCGTAAAGAAAAGTTGTCTTTACATCTAATTGCTCAAGATGTAGATTTTTTGCAGCTACAATTTTCAACACCAGTCTGATTGTAGACAATTTTATGATTGGAGAGAAAATTTCATTTTTGTCAATACATTCTTTTTGCTGAAAACCTTTGATAACCAATCTTGCTTTGTAGCGTTTGCTCCCATCGTGCTCTTCTTTGATCCTGTAAATCCACTTGTTATGGAGCGCTTTCTTGCCTGGTGGTAATTCAGCTAATTCCCACGTCTGATTTGACATAAGCGAGTCCATCTCATCTTTCATGGAAGACTCCCACTTGACTGAATCCTCCACCTGTATTGCTTCATCATAGCACTCTGGTTCACCATTATTATTCAACAACAAGTAGTACAAATAAGGCGAATAACGTTGGGTTGATTTAGGAATTCTGGAGGACCGTCTTAGTTCCAGTGTGCTTGGTTCTTCTTGAACTGCTTCAGGACTAATCTGAACATCATTTCCAGAAATCTCCTCGAACTCAGCAAGTTCCTTTGTTTCAGCTTTGGTATTGGAGCTACTTGATTCAATGGTTGACCTGTCTTTGTACATCACATTCTCATTGAAAATGACATCTCTTCTTCTGATGATCTTCCGATTTTCGTAGTCCCAAAACCGATAACCGAACTCATCACCACCATAACCAACAAAGACACATTTGTTGGATTTGGCATCAAGTTTACTTCTTTCAACAGAATCTATGTGTACATAAAGAAATACAACCAAACACTCTTAAGTGTAAAAGATTTATTTATTTCTTGCTCCAAACTTCCTCCGGCATTCCACCATCCAAGGGAACTGAGGGCCCATAGTTGATTAGGTAAGCTGCAGTGTTGATAGCTTCAGCCCATAGAAATTTGGGCAATTCGGTATGTATCCTCAAGCTTCTGGCACGTTCATTCAGAGTTTTGTTCATGTGCTCTGCTACGCCATTCTGTTGCGGTGTCATGGGAACTGTTGTCTCCATCTTGATCTCATTGTTTGCGCATAAATATCTGAATCTTCTATTTTTGTACTCTCCTCCATTGCCAGACCTCAACCACTTGACTTTCAATCCAGTCTCATTTTCCACCATGGCCTTCCATTTTCTGAAGGTATCAAAGACTTCTGATTTCTTCTACAGAAAATAAACCCACACCTTCCTTGTAGAATCATCGATGAAGGTGACATAATATAGTGAGTCTACAAGAGATGAAACTGGAGATGGTTTCCATACATCAGTATGAACCAACTCTAACTTTTCTGTCTTGGGTGTCTTGTCAATCTTTGCAAAACTGACTTTATTTTGTTTTCTAAAGATGCAATCCTTGCATAGTCCGACATCTACACTCTTTAGATCCGGTAGTTTCCCTTTTGACAAAAGTGTCTTCATCTCTTTCTCGCTCATATGGCCAAGTCTTTGGTGCCATAGGTTTGTTTTTCCATCAGCATCTGTTGCAGCAATGATATTCTCAAAATTTGAGGTTATATAGAGAGTACCAGTCTTCTTACCACGAGCAATGACGAGTGCTCCTTTGGTAATCTTCCATTCACAGCCTGAAAAGGTTGTGCTATATCCTTCTCCATCAAGCTGTCCTATAGAAATCAAATTTCTTTTTGAGGCTAGGAATATGTCTTACTCCTTTCAGCGTCTAGGTGGTCTGGTTTGACAACTTTAATCGGATGTCTCCTTTTCCGACGATCTTCAAGGTTTCATCATCAACTAGATGAACCTTCCCAAAATCACCACTAACATAGTTCTCCATGATTTCTCGGCATGGGGTGGAGTGGAAAGATGCCCCTGAATCCAAGATCCATGATTCAATCAGACTGTTGACGCTTAGAATCATGACATTACCTGTCTCCTCTGTCATGTTGGAAGATTCCTGTGCACCGGTATCTTTCTTCGGTGCTCCGCAATCTCTTTTAAAGTGACCCTTCTTGCCATAATTATAACAGGTATAGTCTTTCTTTCCCGTTCTTGATTTTCCCCTTCTGGATTTGGATCTGCCACTATTTGAATTTCTCTCTGAAGTTCTCCCTCTAGAATTCGTGTGCAAGGCTGAGGAGGTTGATGTTTCACCCGATTCTCTTCGTCGAATTTCTTCGCTTAATACCAGATCCCGAACATCGTCGAATTTCAATTTATTGTTTCCTGACGAGCTGCTGACTGCTGTAACAGTAGCATTCCAACTGTCTGGTAGAGATGATAAGAGAATTAAAGCTCAAACTTCATCATCAAATTCAATTTCCACGGAACTCAACTGGGTTATGATTGTGTTGAGTTTATTTAGGTGTTGAGCCACTGATGCCCCTTCTACCATCCGCAAATTGAATAATCGTCTCATCAAATGAACTTTGTTTGAGGCTGATGGCTTCTCATACATACTGGAGAGAGCCGCCATAAGACCCGCTGTGGTCTTTTCCTTTGTTATGTTGAAAGCAACATTGCAGGATAATGTCAGTCGGATAACTCCGAGGGCTTGTCTGTCGAGAAGGGCCCAGTCTTCATTCTTCATGCCCTCTGGTTGCTTTCCTGAGAGAGGTTGATATAGATTTTTCTGGTACAGAAAATCTTCAATCTGCATCTTCCAAAAGCCAAAGTCTGCACCATCGAACTTTTCAATTTTCACATTCCCTTTATCTGCATCCATCGCTCCCACTCGAATCTGGCTTCGTTTGGATCGTTTCTGACAATTCTTGTGAACCACCGTGTATTAGAACACCTCCGTCGATAAGCTCATATTCCCGACAAAATTTTTACTATTTACAAAATTTACTATTCATGTGAATAGTAATGAATAGTAATGAATAGTAACATCGCAAAAAATTGACAAAATTCACAACCAAAAGCTCTGATGTCAGTTGTTGGGAAATAAAACAAGAAACGAGTAATTTCCCTATAACCAGATTAGTGAGAATGCGAAATAAAAGCGGAAAAATAATACCCGAAATTGATAACGGAGTTCAACCAATTTTGCTTACGTCTCCGGACTGCTACAAATCTTTTACTAAGATAGAAAATTTACAGGTGTTTACAAAACACTAACTACTCACAAGAAATCTATCTAGTATTGGGAGAAAGAAAATGATTTGGGATGGTTTTGAAGCTAAATGAGCTAGGGTATTTATAGTTGAAGCTTAAGGACTTAATCTTGTAAATACCCTAAAGTCTAGGGATTAATTATGATTATCCATTATCATTTTTCAACAAACATATACCAAACTTTGAAAAACTATTTTTCAAAGAAACATTTACCAAACTTTGAAAACCATTTTCGAAAAAACATTTACCAAACTTTGAAAATCATTTTTTCAAAGTTGGTTGCCAAACTTTGAACTTAACTTTTAACAATACTTTCAACAAACACATCTCAATATCTTAATTAGCTCAAACATTTAGAATTTTCTTTTCAATTTTGTCATTGTTTTTCTAAGAGGGTGTCATCGACCTTTGGCCCAAATAGTATCACTCACTATTTTTTTGCACTATTTTACATGTATGAGTTATGTTATTTTATTTTAATAAATCTTTCTTCCTCTTTATGAAAGAGTAAGATGCTTTTTGCTTGTCTTATAACATGTTTTTTTTATTGAATTTTTTTTATCACATCTTATTGATGAGTTTTTGCTCTATACCTTTAGACTAATTCTTTTATATATATGTTTGCAATCACCCTAGACAAGGATGGAGTAAGAATTTTAGTTCAGGGGATAAAATAAAAATAAATAAAAATTTAAAGGTCTAAATTGATAATCATCCCTATTTTTTTAATAGTAAAAAAATATTTGGGGGCAGTGCACCGAGGGCCTACATGGCTGCGTCACTTAACTTATTCGTATTTTTTATTTTTCTCTAAGTTATTTGATTGAATTTTCAAATAATTTTCTTGTGTGATTTTTTTTAGTAATTAACACGTGCTCTTTGATGATTCTAAGAAAAATGATCTATTAATGTGATTAGCCTATTTTAACATATATTATGTGTCCTGTGATACACTTATAAAGTGCCGCATGTATTTTTTAACGAGAAAATAAATTACAAGTAATGTGCATCACGATTAAAAAATTTAGAGGCCAAATTAAACTAAAAAAGTATTCAATACCAAAGTGATAATTAAATTACAATTCATATTTTCTGAAAAAAATATTACAAATATAATTATGATTACAATATTTACAATTGTTAGTTACAATATCTCTAGTGTTCTGGTCATGTCTCCATGGGCGTGTGATCACGGTTAGATATTTAAATTATAATGCGGTTGCATTTTCAGATGCGTCGTGTTTATAAAGATTGCAGACATAACTATGCAATGATTGCGACTATCGTGATCATACAATAACGATCGCGGAACACACCGCTACCACTATATGTCAAGCGCTATCACGATCGCGAATCACTATTTAAATCTCTAATCATATCTCTGTATATGAGCCGCAAGCTAATCAACTTTACGTTTGGTGTTAACAAAGATCACACTCCGAGTAATGGTTATAGTTTGGATCCATCTTTTGCACCATGCCATGCCATACCACTGCAGCTTCACATATATATATGTTAACTAACATATACAGAACCACATAGTTACATTTATACCAACAATGATGCCATGGTTATATGCCAACTAGATCAATTCAATGAAAAAATAAACCAAGTAAGCCAAATAACTATATAGAGTTACTTATCCAAAAAAAAAACTATATAGAGTGATATAAAACCTAGCTAGCTTCATACTGCCTCCTGTTGTTCACTGGTAAAAACCTGTTTTCGCTCTTTTATATATATATATATATATATATATATATATGCTCGGCAAAGAGAATTTTATTAATAAGAAATCTAACAGGGAAAAATGTATAACTCATTAAAAACATTCCTAAACCTAAATGGAGGAAAAGAGTATATATATTTAGCTAACCCGAACAACATCAGCAAACAAAAAGGATCAGCAAAACGAGTTCAAAGCCAAGTCCCAACCAAGCACGATACAAACAGACCCCCCTAAAACAAAAAAAATACCAAGAACAACCAGACCACCCTGACCCTCACAACAGAACAACACAACTGAGAAGGAAAAACAGAAATATGACAGACAGCAGCCTATATAACCAGGTCTACAAACGAATTCAAGCTGGAAATGAACAACTTTCTGCCAAATCATGAATGCGCCACTCAAAACAGACACAAGGTTATATATGCAGTCATAAGAATGATGAAAACTGTTCTTTGTGTATGATGAGAGGTAAGAAATAATTAACTATATATCAACCTTTTAGAGTTAGTACAAATAACTATGTTGGGTATATTCTAGGGTAAATTCTGTTAGAACATAACTCATAATTAAATATGATATCAAACCAGGATCTAATCATACCAACTATCAAGAATAAAATAAATATTAGATTTGCGGAAGCGTACTTGTTTGGAGATTACCTATAAGGTTGAGATCTTTGAATCTTTATTGTGATATTCCAAGAAGATATAATTTCCTTTAGTATAAACTCTCTGATGGGATAAGAGAAAATACGAGATAATCTATTTATTGGGGACCATAACCATTTTATATAGCTGATTTAAGAATAAGTTATTGTTTGTACTTA